CGGCGGAGGGCCCCCTGCCATATCAGCCTGTGGGGGCTCAGCTGAGATAGGCGTGACGCTTGGACCCCTGCTGCCCTGCACTCTCCTGGCCCCTCTGCACGGGCTCCCAGGCACGGCTGCAGGGACCTCAGGTCATCCTTGGGCTCCCCAGCCACCTCTGTGGAGAGCTTAGGTCACCCTTGGGCTCCCTGGCCACCTCTGTGGGGAGCTTGGGTTACCCTTGGTTTCCTCAAACCCCTTTGCAAAGAGCTTGGGTCACCTTTGGGCATCACAAGCTGATGAATGGCCACATTTTCAAAACAGCCCAGCGTGTTTCAAACTCAGGGGTGTACAGGGTAGGTGGAGCAAGTGCCATGAGAACCCAGCTGGACCCTCCCGAAAGTCTGGCCCCGCTTTCTCCGGGCAAATAGAACTCGAGTAGAAAGGGCCTGAAGCCAGCTCTCTGCCAGCAGCCTGTGCACTGGCTCGCTGCAGTCGCTGGGCATTGGTGCTTCCCTGGAGGCGGTAGGTGGAGCTGCCAAGGGCAGTCTGTTTAAATAGCACTGTGTGGTGTGTGTTTAGGGCCATTTGGAGATAACCTGGTGCTCTGGGAGAAGGGTAGGCAGTGAAATACTCTCAGGCAAGAGCAACTTTCTGAGTTGAGGCCTCACTTTCAGCTTGTAGGCTCCCATGCCACCCCAAAACCTGGCTCAGCAGAGACTTTTGATCAAGGGGGGAAAAGTCGTGAACGATGACCACTCTGTGGTGGCTGATGTGTACGTGGAAGATGGAGTGGTGCAGCAGGTGGGACCGAACCTAAACCCTGAGCCACCCACTGGACTTGTCGTGCTGGATGCAACCAACAAGCTAGTGATCCCTGGGGGCATCGATACTCATACACACATGCAGTTCCCTTTTATGGGTAGCAGGTCAAAAGATGACTTCTATACAGGAACAAAGGTGGGTGCACATATGCATGTTTCTGTGTCCATCTGAGCTTTCTTAGAAAGGGATGTCTGCTGGTTATTCAATATTACTTCTAAAAGAGAGAACAGTGTGAATAAAGCACAGGCAATTGTTACTGTCCGTTGGCTGGGACATTGTAATAAGCAGTTGGGGTACTCAGAGGTCCACCTTCAACCAGTATGTTATTTGGGTTCCTTCAGAGACTTTTCTGGCTGTGGGTGGCAAGTGTTAAGTGCAGTTATTTACCCTGGCTGTCGCCATGCAGACTACAACTTGCACTGTTACATGCAACAAGCTCATACTTTTCTGAGCAAAGGTTAACTAAAGCAACAGTTCAACTCTCCAGTGCGTTGGGAGCACTTCTGTGGTCATCTGATCTTTCTCCTCTGTTAGCATGGGGGAATGCAAGCTTTTCTTCTGTCATTCACTTCTGCCCTTACTGTGTGTCTCAGTGAAAGTCCAGTTCAAATACACTTTCTAAAGTATCTCATTCCTCCCAGTTTTACACTTGCAGTGGTTTTTTTCAGCTTTTAAGCTGATCTCGTTACATTCCCTGCATTAGCAGTGTATCAATTACTAGTGTTAACAGTATTATGCATCATCTCCATACGGTAAAAATACTCATATAGAGCTCCCTAAAATTTGTAAGGTACTTTTCTAAAAGCTTTGCTGTGCAGGCCGAAATCCTTTGCCCACAGAAGGGATCATATTGCCCTACTTGGCTTGTCTGTTAGCTAGCATCCTCAGAGAGCCTGTTATATCCTGTCCCTCTCACTGCAGAACTGGGGTTTGCTAAAAAGCAGAAAGCACTAGTGCATCCCTTCTAAAGAAATGGATTTCACTGATGTACATTTTTTCTGATGTGCAAAATACTAATTTGCCTCTTTGAAATAGTTGAATTAAGTTAAATTCAACTCCTTTTGACAAATGGTGTGGTGCAGTAACCACACAACTTTTAAGAACGTTTAAAGTTTGCAGTCCTGCTTAGATTGACCCTATTCTTTAACAGGAAATTTCATTTCTTGCTTGCCCCATCATGTCATGAGAGTGTGAGTTAGATTGTTTGAGTGGCGTAACTATACATTTCCATAGTCTAACAAGATTTGCCTTTTTTTAATGTTGAGTCCAGAGTACTGAAGGGAGGGCTACAAATGACCTGTATGCTATCCTTAAATTACTGGCATATTTCTTTCAGTAACAATATTTATTCCAACTCAAGGTAGATTTGCTGGTGTTCCTGCTATATTTGGAATGGAAATATTTTACATTGGGTAGTTTTAAGCACTAGAATTGTTCTTCTCAATGAGCACAGAAGTTACTGCCTGTCAGAGTTCAAGGAGCGTCTGGATGACGTTCTTAGTCATATGGTTTAGTTTTAGGTAGTCCTGCGAGGAGCAGGGAGTTGGACTCAATGATCCTTATGTGTCCTTTCCAGTTTGAGATATTCTATGATTCTATAGTGACTCATTATAATAGACTGTAATTATTCTGCAAAACTTTGACAAAAAATTATTTTGTCCATCACAGCAGATCTTTCCTGCTATACCAAAATGGCTGCTATGTCAAACATAACATGTCTCTCCAAGTTAGACGTAAGATAAGATATAAAAGGAAAGCTACAACATTGAATTTCCACCTCCAGAACCAATAGCTGAAAAAGGATTATAAATTTAATCAAGGGAATTTTTTTCCCCAAACTAAGTATCTTCTGTAGCTATCTGGTAGAAATGAGGGAATCTATTATTATATGGGCCTCACAATGCTGTCTTTTTCAGATGTCCTGAAAAAAATTGTAGTTACCAAAATGGCTTCCACAAGCAGTTTTTAGACTTCACACTGCTTTTTGTGATAAATGGAGAGAAAAAGATCAAGTCCAAAATGGCTGTTCTGCTTGTCTACAGGCATCACAAAGTATGTTTCCTGGCTGAATGAAGTGCAGAATTTGATTTCTGGAATACTTAGTTTACATAATTTACAGTACACAAAAATACATATTAATGTTTTGTCATTTTCTGCAACGATCCTTTATTTCTCTGTGAAGACGATTTTTGTAAACTAATTATCAACAATGTATTTAGAAATTTGACATCGCAAGAGAAACCAAACAAATGTGACTTGAAGCCAGAAGATGATTTTGGTTGACAGGAGAAAACATGTGAAAGAAACAGCAATGACTGTGGCTTTCTCTTAAGACGTCTGCTTGAGGTGTAAATGATCTCATTCTTCAAGTGCCTCCATTGACTTTAAAGGGAACCGAAGATGCAGACTAACTCAGATGTAGGTGCCTACACCGTAAATCCCAAATTAAAGGAGATAAATTGTGTGCTAACTTGCAAAAAAAGTACTGATTTCAGTTAGCATATAGGTGTTTTGAATAACTTTTTGAGGCACTGGACAGAGAAACTGCAAATCAGAGACTGCATACACAAAACAGGATGTCCAGATAGTCACTTTGCTGCCTAAAAGAAGACTCTAGATCCAGCCCAGTGATGAGATGTCAAAAATTTAGATATTGTAGACCTTCTTAACCCAGGTCAAAGCATGGAAAGTGTTCAGAGCTATTTACTCAAGGTCATCGTCTGACAAGTATTTTGGCAAGAGAATCAGAGAAAGTTGTGTTCCAACTATTGCAAAATGTGCTACAGTGATTAGCTAAGATTTACCCATTCAGTTGAATAAATAAAGGCACAGAATACCTCTCTTTACAAAGAGAGGGGAAAAAAGATATTGGGGGAAAAAAGAGACTCTGAGTGGAGTTGTGGAACCAATGACTTTTTTTTTTTTCTTGAAGTTTATAAATATTCTTTAATTCTAAATCCTGTTTAACAAATAAGAAGTCAATCTGTCTTGTTGAAAAAAAATTTTGAAAGTTTGAACAACTTCTCGTGGAGAAAATGTTCTGCAGAATTCATCACAGATTCACAAATATTTATGTCACTCTCCAAACTTCTTTTTTTGCAAAATATACTGACATATTTACACTTGTGCTTCTGATTGCTGGAGAGAAGGAATGAAGAGACTGATTGATCTAGAAATAGGAAGAGTAATTTAGCATGAATTTGAACTGTGTATATTTTGATCTGAATTGGTTGTACCTGTTGTGCAAAGGGATGTTGTTCAGAGCAATCGAGAGGATTTCTCTGGCTAATTTGGAAGATTGCAACAATTACAAAGAAATTTCTGTATTGGATCAATTTCTGTTGGTCGGGGATCTGGTTTCTGGGAGTGACTAATAAAGATCCTTCAAAGGAAAAAAAAAAGTAATAATTCAATTGTCTATAAAGGAGAGTGAAAATTACTGGTTCAAAAGCAATTTTTGATCCTCATAACATACATAAAGTAAAATTTTTGTTTATTTATTTACTTGTAAATATTTATATGGAGGATTTAAATACCTCATTCTATTTCAAAACCTGCTATGCAGTTTTACTAAATTATACCCTGCCAGTAACAAAAATAATTTTAAAATACTTTAAAAATCCTTTTGGTGTTAGGCAAGAGTTTGGGGATTTTCACACTGGATTTTCAAACTGAATCTGTTTTTTTTTCATTGTGTATCTGCCCCTTAATACTTTCCTGTCACACAGGCTTGTGTTTTTCAACTATGTAGGCTCTGAGGAAGCATTTCTCAAGTTGACTATGGTCTTCTGGTGCTCTTCTTTCTCAGTGATCCCACCCACTTAAGGAAACTCACTGATGCATGAATGCTGCAGACTCATCTCCAAATCTTTGATCAGATTTTGTACATGTGTGAAAACTTCTTCAGTCTGAGAATTTCCCCATGATTCTCCTGAATACCTACCTGTTCGAGAACATCCTCCTCAAAGGAGGTGAAATTAATCTCCACAATCATTTTGCAAATTCAGATTTTACTCAGGGAAACTCTTCAGTGGCTTTTGGCTTTTCAGTATATCAAGATAAATTGTTGCACGGGGAATCGGAGAGGGTGGGAGGAAATTTGCATTCTCTCTGATTGCTAAATATTAACTTTCTTGGTTTCAGGCTGCTATAGCAGGAGGAACCACTATGATCATCGACTTTGCCATCCCTCAGAAAGGCTGTTCTCTTATTGAAGCCTTTGATACATGGAAAAGCTGGGCAGACCCTAAAGTCTGCTGTGATTATGCACTGCACGTGGCAGTTACGTGGTGGAGCAACAAGGTAGACACAATAGCTCATTTTCAATTCCATGAATTGGTACCGCACCTGCTTTGAATTAGTCCTCATGTGCTAAATATAGCTTACTGACAGTGTAATAGTTAGTGTATTTTTGTGTGTAAAAACTACATTTGAAATAGTCCACATCCTTCTAAAAGTACGTGTATTTGAAAAAATAAAGAAAGTCTGCAGATAGCCTACATCTTTGGATAATACTGCACAAAGTTAAAGGAAAAGGAAGCAGTTGTGCAAGACCAAGACCAGGCAGGCCAGAGTGGGCAAGAGGTGTTTGCATAAATTTTGGCTTTTGTTACTTGAACACTTGATAATCTATGCTCCTGTTGAGTCTTGGTGTTACTTTTTTTTTAATAAGGTTATACATGAAAAATACGGTACTTAACTTTATTTGTAAAGGAAAAGTTCTATTCCTGAGTGACTGCAGTAATATCTCCTTAAAGTGAAGCAGGATTGGAGCCAATAATTACTTGAATGTGAGATTATCTAAAAAACCTTATTGGAATTTACTTATGTGAGAATCGTCCTTGTTGTGTGAATGTTTGCTGATAGCCTGAAAGCTTTACCGAATAAATTAACTTTTCAGGTACTTGACATCTCTCTGAACCTGACCCAGGTTTTACAAGACCACTTTGGATCCTCAGAGAACATGCATCAGCACATAGATATAAAGTAAATTCCATTTTTAAATATGAGTGCTTCCTCCAATTTTTTACTTTTAAAATATATAAACCGAAGTCTTCACTCTGCAAACACCACATCTTTGGTATTCTGTGCACCGAGCACTAAATAAACTGACCCCAACTTGTAGGTCAAAGCAAAGACATAAAATAAATTCTGCAGTGAAGTTTGAGGAATGTGCATTTGAAACAGCTTTAGCAGAGAAGAGTGGAATTGTACTGAAAAATCCAATAAAACTAGGGAGGTGTAAATCAATGAAATGTTCTGGTTTATGTTAACTGTTTTTAAAGGCCAAGATTGAAAGAAAAAAGAAAGATCTGATGTTTTGTAGCTCTAAAAGACCTGGGTAAAGAAGACTTTGATATTTCATGCCTTTCTAATTAGCTATCATCTCCTCAGGATTTAAAGTATTGATTAAAAACATACATTCTTTACAGTGCCTTCCCTTAGTCATAGTAATCAGTGAAGAAGAAAATAAATGACGTGCCTCTATATTTGCGCCAGAGCAGGGCCTTATGTCAGGTATTTATTTGTTTGATAATTCCCACTGAAGATATGCTCTGGATAAGTCCTCCTCTGGATAAGTCCAGAAAATTTCCTTGAGTTTTATATCAATCTCTCACTTTTCTTGGGCAGATTCAACCAGATTATTAGAGAGAAGATGAAAAATAATGTTTTACTTCTTCAAAGGAATTCATCCCATGGAAATTGTAATAGCATCACAGATACACGTCAATTACTGTCACCATCATTTTACTGGGAAGGGAGAGCCAAAGTTAGGTAATGAATAGTTCTAGGTAACCAGCTGCACAAGAAACCTTTGGGCTAAAATCTGCATCTTTCTTTCTTTCTTTGGGACATAATGTTTTGCTGGGCTTCACAGACTCTAGCAGAAGCAGGGAATCCTATCAAGGACGGCATATAAGAAAAAAAGCAGGCTTGCAGCTAGTGTTTGAGAGTTTTGTTTGATGACAAAATATTTCAAAAGGCTGTGTGTTGTTTGGAGTCAGGACAAAGCTCTAGGAGATAAGATCTTTTCTGTCACTCTGTAATTTGCCAGAAGCTGAAGCCTATTACGATCCAATTTTGAAAAGAAATTTTGCACAAATTTCCATACTCTATAAGTTGGATACATTTGTTGTAATATTGGACTGGGTGTTTTCAACATCAGGAGATTTGTTTGGAATAAAATTCTGCTTCACTATTTTTTAAAAAAGCATTCCCTTCCTGCAATTAGCTTGTGCCTCCAGTTTCTGCACTGCAGTCGTACTGGTTTATATACTTTGAGAATCAATTTGATACAAGAAGAAGAGTATAAGTCAGTCTTTATATATGTGACTTAGGCTGTTTGGACTGAATGTATGTTTGATGGGTGAGTAAAGGCTCACCCTGTTTGGACTGAACATATGTTTGATGGGTGAGTAAAGGCTCACCCTTCATACTTACGACTTCTTTATACAAAATTATTAACAGGTAAAATATAATATTACTGTTTTTTGAAAATTGCTGGCTGTCTTTCAGGTGAAGGAAGAAATGAAAAGTCTTGTTCAAAAGAAAGGCGTCAACTCCTTCAAGATGTTTATGGCCTATAAAGGTATATATATGGTCAATGATGAGGAGTTATATTCAGCCTTTTCCTGCTGTAAGGAACTTGGAGCAGTTGCTCAAGTCCATGCAGAGAATGGGGAGCTAATTGCACAGGTAGGCATTTGACATTTTGTCCATTGAAGTCAGGAATATAAATGGTCCTGTTATCTAAGCACTTCAATAGATGTATTAGTACCATCGTTGTATCATAGCGAAAGGCTTTTCTACCCTATTTTACTTCCATGGAACTGAAGACAAACATCTTGTCCAAGATCCTAAAGGATGCTTGTGGTGGGCTAAGAAATTGTAACCTGGAGTCCTGGGTTCAGGGTAGACAGAAGGCAAATGATCCTGTTATAATGAAAGTTATACTTGCAGTATAATATATATATTTGCAATATAATATGTACACTTGACTGACAAAGAAGGCATCAGTCAGAGCCTGACCATCGACCAGGTCAAAGGGGGAGCACTCGGCCAAGTATTTAGATGTCATGTGTGTGATGCCTGACCCTAGGTCTCTCCAAACATAGTCAGCTCATCTAACAGGAGCGAATCCAGAAGTATGGAGAAAGCTTCACTGACTGGGCACAAAAGTCTCAGTGTCCCTCTATGCATAGTTAGCCTCACTTCACGCTTGTTACTGCCATCTTAGTGCTGCGTGGAGGCACTGGGAGTACAACTACACTGATGGCTTTGAGTTTCTTCAACTCGTCTACTCAACAGTGCTTTGACTCTGCCCCAGGTCCCATAATGGAAATGAATTTATTGCTAAGTGATCTCAAATCAGCAAAGCATAAGTTTCTGGAATATAGTGAGGACAAAATCTTATGCCTCTTAAAACCTTGGAGCCTCATTCAGAGGCTCTGGATGTGTATCTTTGTGCTTAGTAAGGATCTTACCATTTTTTTCCAATGAGGAATTAGTACTGTTATCTCAATTACTGGCTGTGATCATTTAAGAGTACATACTGAGAAAGAGGTGGAATTTTCAAAAGCAGTGATTTATCCCTGCAAGCCAGTGGAGTGTGTTCTCTGAAGTCACTTAGGTATTCTGAGACCTGTGTTTATTGAGAGATATATTGGATTTCAGATAACAATAACTTCTCTTGAAAAAAAATCATAACTGCCTTTTTTTTTTCCTCAAACTAGCTGCAGTGGCTGCTTTAGGATCCATTTGGCTGACAGCATGTTCATGACACTATGGTTCCACTGTAACTGACTCTTACATGCTTTTCAGGGTGCAAAGAAGATGCTGGCCATGGGAATAACTGGCCCTGAGGGGCATGAGCTGTGTCGTCCTGAAGAAGTGGAAGCTGAAGCTACACAGAGAGCAATTACCATAGCAAATGCTGTAAACTGCCCCCTTTTTGTAGTCCATGTAATGAGCAAATCTGCAGCAAGGGTGATAAGTAATGCACGAAGAGAAGGTAAAAGTCCTAATTCTTTTATGCTTGGGCAGTGGCATTGGAGGAAGGGTCATGGAAAACCAAACATAGCATCAGTGTCCTACTTGTCATGGGTGCCATAACCCTCAGAACATGGGTGAATTTCTTGGAGTGAGATGTCTAAACTATGTAAGTGTGTTGTGGGGCCCAAGGGGAGCTAAGCAGTGTGGAAGAACAACAACTGAGATTGAGACTGTCCCTTCTCCCTGGAGCAAACATTTTTCTCCGTCGTACTGTACCTCCAAGGTCAAAGTAATGGCCAGGACAGCATTGTTGCATTAAAAATGATGCGACCAGTCCAAGACAATATATGCTCTGCTATTCCCGTCCCTTGAGTTATAGTCTGCAAGCTATTATTACCAGCTATTCAGATGAGAAATTCCACAACAGAGACCACACCATGTTTTTACAGACAGTGCCATGTCATGACCAGGACTCCACTGGGCACTTAGAAATCACGGTGATGATAACAGTGTCTGAAAGCCTCAATTCCCTCCAGGGAAGGGTTTTTCAGGTCATACACTGCAGGGTTCATGAATAGTTCTGGTCAGCCAAGGGAACCTGACCCTCTTGACCATCTGTTGGGCAGGCTAGAAGCAACCTATGACTAGGCTGTAGGGATTCAGGATGTTTTTACCTCCTCATCTGTAAGTTCATCCAGAGTAGCCTGTGGAACCACTGTGCTGTGAGGAGACATTATGTGGGTGGAAGGAATAGGACAGAGGCATGTGATTTGGAGGGCCTAAAACTTTATGGAATACCTGTCCTTGTTATCCTTTTACACCTCAGCTTGTGTTCATCTGACCCAACATGAATAGCATACAGACCCGAGTTTCCTTATTTCTTGACTTTAGATAATGCTTACACTGGGGGCGTAGATTATTAATATCAAAATGCAGAGTATTAGAGCTTGAGGAAAGTGCAGTCAAAACCAGCATGATATCATTGTGCAAAATAGATAGATATGTTTATGTGGAATATGTATTGATTATGACTTCTAGTAAGATTTACCAGTAATTCAAGTTTATAATCTACCAGAATATTTTTTACTAGTACATCTTTTGGTACTGTGCTATATTAGATTCCTCCACTAGATGACAGTGCTGCTGGTAATGTGGATTATGTTCACAGTGTACGGTTATTTGTACATTCACAGGTGTGGTGTCAACATTAACTACAAGAAGCTGTAACAACAGTTAAAATACCCAGATTAAAGATGAAACATTGGCTGTGAGCATAAAAGAGCAAAGATAGGAGGTGGTGTTTTATAACACAGTATAAAAGTACAAAATTCTATGCTGATAGTAAATACTGTAAAATATTGTTAGGCATGTGTGTAAGAATAGTCTGCAGTGCCAGTATGATAACTGACTTGATAACAGTATGCTTCTTCAATGTGTAAAAAGAAGAAATTGGTACAACTTATGCTTATAGTGGTGCAAACTGGATTTTATAGCTTCCTGCGTTCATGCAGTCAGAATCATCAATGCTTGCCTTTGGGCACAGCAATCTAAAACATCTCTCCGTAATTATTACTTCCTATTTGCATGGAAGTATACTGTTTAGGAAACAGAAATCTGCGATTGATTAAGAAATTTCAAAAGATAGCTACACACAAAAGATAGTACCACAAAGGTAGGTACAATTATAGTTTTTAATGACACTGATCTGTATAAACTCTGGCAATTAGAAATTCATTGTTGTTAGTTTCAGTAAAAGTTATTTTACATTCTTCAATTAAAAGTGGTAATACAAAACAAGGCGTTCCAGACAAAAAAAAAAATTCTCAAAGTATTGTGTGAATGACATAAATAAAGCCCATATATTTTGCTGAAAGATATTCAACTTGGACAGGTTAAAACCATTCTGACACGAAAGCTGTGTAAACTCTTAAATACAGGAGGGCTCTCAAGCATTTGAAATATACACTCTAATGCAGTTTATTCATCTTTGCAAGATTACTTCTCCATTTCTTGATGCTAGCTTCCTGCTATTTACAATTGTGAAATTGTTCATGTTCCTTTCCAAGCACTTAGCAGGAAGTACAGTGTGTGGATGCATATTCCTCCCTGCTCATGTCGGGGGAAGATTGATATGCCTTCCTATTCCATCACTGACCTCAAAAGGGGGGAGACTGATCTTCAGTGAGCGTAATCTATTTTCTGGGTGACAGTGTGATACCAGAGTTGAAGCATTGCTTCTCAAATTCTGTGGGATGGTGATTTTCCTAGTCAAAAATGTAAGTCAGAGCCCAGTTCTTCTTTGTCCCTCATTTAGCTATAGAAGGTGAACAATAATATTAGAGCTAGAGACCAAAGGCCTGATCCAGTTTGCGGAAGAGAGTAGGCATAATTCTCTTGTCTTCAGTGAGCTGTGGCTCAGACCTTAAAGGCTAAAATCAATCATACAGACTGTAAAAGGATACTAGTTCTTATACTAGAATAAGCAAACTTTAGGGGAATCACATGAGTGACCACCTTTCCTTCTCCCCTCCATCCCCAAGTCCACCATCTATGTCTGCTCTGATCTCCAGCAACACTGGCCACCGAAGGAAATCTCCAGATTGTAGCAGCATGTTTTTCATGTACGTCAGCAACAGCTACATTGCTGCTGAATATTTAACAGGAAATCCAAGATTTCCATATTGTGACTGTGTTGAAAAGGGAGGGGTTAACTCATGCCCCCATTCTGTTCTTTTTGGGCCCTACCAGCCTGTTTGCACAGGCTCAAAAGCGATGGTTCACCATTTCTCCCTTTGTGAGGGTCAAAGACAGCACCTCTCTGTTCTTGCTCATCTCAGTGGGATGTTTCTTCATCTCTGGGCAGAACATGATCTTGAATCTTGCTAGAATAGGTAGAGGAACTGTCTGCTTCCACAGAAGGGCAGTCTGATTATCTCTGTGTGCTCAATCTCATTCCCTTGAGTGGGAAGTCAAAGAGGATCCTCTTTCTGCTATAGTGTGTCTTCCCTACAATGAGAAGGCAAGGCTCTAGAGCGCCGGTGTCAAGCAGTTGCAGCTCCCTCTCCTTGTTAGGACTACCTGATGTGAACTTACTGGGGAAAACTAATGTGGCCCTGTCACTCATTCCTTCAGCTAGTAACACCTACGGGGAAGCAAGGCTAATAAAATGTGATGTAGGGATATATGACTTATACTGCCTCCCACTTAAAAATGCTTTCATTCTAAGTGTACAGAAGACTAGAGATCATATCCCTTTGCCCATTTAACTGTGCTGTTACAGCTAAGGAAATAAGACTTTCTAGGGCAGATTAGAACTGAAGAGCAGCATCTTACTAAAAAGTCAGTTTTTAAAAGGTTTCTCCCTTTTAAAAAATGCATACAAAAATATGTACTTGATCAGATTACAAGAAGCTTGCTTAGACTTATAAGTCATGGCTTAGGTCTGCTCTTAGTGAGAGGAAGGGCATGCCCATAGCTGTGGGTATACAGACTCTCAAGCTGATTCTGAGCACAGGAGTGCAACTAAAAATGCCAACTTTTTAGCTAGCTCATGCAGGACAGCTCAAGTCCAGACTGTAGATAGCGTAACTGATCCAATGCTATGCCTGATTCAATAAACCCTGCCTTGCAGTTCTGCGTCTTTCAAATCATAGCTGGTCAGTGAGTATCTTTGCCCCATATGACCTTATCTTAAGTGCTTCTGAAACTTTTACTAGAATAAGCACACAGGGACCAGTTTTTCAAGCCTGTAAATGTTAGTTGGTGTTTCTCAAGATTATAACTCTTTTTGAGTTCTGATAGGTGGTAAAATAAATTGCAGTTGCGTGTTCTTCTTTGTTATAAAGTAATTTATGTGAAAATAGCTCTTGCCAGCCCGTTTGGGCATCTGATGAAGAAGTCACAAAATCCACAGCTAATTTCCAGCAGCTCAGAGATGTCAGAAAGACCAAACAGCAGAACATTTTATGCTTACTATTTTTATTGAATGCAGGAAAATATAACAAATGGAAAGACTTGATTTATTACCGCATTGCTCCAGTTTTATGGCAGAAGCCAATCGAGCTAAAAGAACCTTAATGCAGAATTTCCTGGTTGCCAATCGAGCTAAAAGAGCCTTAATGAAGAATTTCCTTGTTATTTGGATTAAAGCAGAGTCTTGATATTATTGCACCCTTCAGTCTGTCTAGTCACGGCCCAAATGAAATGCAATTGCACAGTCAGCAGAAGTGTCCAGATGTAGTCCGTTGAAACTGCAGTGTTCACTCGCAAAATCACTTGAGGAAACGGCTTGTACTCTTCCCACTCATGGGAGCAAGCGGAGCTGCTCAGGTCAAATTCTGACTGCAGAAATACTGTCATCAGCTGTGGTACATGAGTTAGAATCAACTCAGCATATACAACTGTGAGTTTGGAGACTTCATTTTTATGTTGTGAAACTGAGATAAGAAAATAATTTATGGAAGCTAAAATTTTACTCCTTTCCTAGCATTTTAACTTTTATCATTTATAGCTACGTCCTAATGATTAATAGTTTAGGTTTGGATGGAAGTTTCTTTAGCATGTTTAGATGCAGTAGGAAAGACACACATCACACCACACTTCTTCCTCCCCCAGTTTCCACTGACTTTGCTCATGAAAAATCTGTCAAAAGCCTAATAGGTAAATATAGGAGATTAGTTATATATGCAGGACTTTTTCTGTATATATCTAGGTTTGTGGCAGCCTGCCCTCAAATACTCCGTTTGGAGTTGCCCAAGGAAGGACAAGATCCCCCTATCCCCCTAACTCCTGCAGCAGCTCTGAATTAGGAAAACACTAATATGACTCAAACCTCCTCATTCACGGAGTGGACATATCACTTACATGGGTCGCCTCATATCCAGTGCTTTAGGTTTTGAAAATAAGATGCAAAAAACAGCAAATAACTGCTTAAGTCATGATTTCCAGTCCAAAAAATGGTGGTGGTCTCCCTCTGAGCCCAAGTGTAAACCTATAAATATGTAGATAAGTGGGACTGAGAGCTTAGAAAGCTCCAAGCCAAAGCGTCAGTACAAGACAAGCACATACAGCATGTCAGAGCATGCTGAGATGGTTATAGCAAATTAATAATGCTAATAGGGAGTCTTTAGGTTGTGGCAGAAGTTAAACTATGCAGTACTTGGAGTAAATGTACAGTATAGTAATGTCAGAGCAGGTCTTGAAACCTTGTAGAAATAACTGTAGAACTATGGGTTTTAAATGGTATGAGGCCTTTTTGCAAGTCTAGCACAGAAAATTTAACAAATGGCACTACTGCAGTGGGAAACATATTTTGAAAAGAATTGAGCTCCTCAATAGCTACATATGCTAGTGTAGCAGTTATAATCCAATAGCTCACAGAAGTACCAGAATCTAATGTGGAGAGAGAAATCTGCAAAGGTTTGCTTTGCTGTTTTCCGACAGTACAGTGAATGCCTCACTTATGTGCAGAAAGCCAGAGAAAGGTCACTGTCTTTTATCACCGAGCCATTACCAGCTGAGCCCTTCCTGGGTTAATGTAGTGATAGTTCTAATAAAAATTGTCCCTGGAGTGAAATCTGGGATCCGTAGCAAGATACCCACTGTCTATAGGGAACAGGGGAAGGAGAAAGCTCTTGCTGGAATCCAGCAGAGGCTGCCTTTAACCAGCATCAAGCAGCCTGTGAGTGGGTGTGTGAGGTCCCAGCTCACTCTAGTTCTTTGGTAACCATCACAGTCAGAGGCATTACCACCTGTCACCTACAGGACTGCAAAGTGGCTGGACCACCTTCTCAGGAGTGAAACACCTTATTTCATCTCCCATTTTGTTCTGATGAGTTTCAATTCCATGTTTCCTAGGAGGAAAAAATAGTTAAAATATGTTAGCTCTATCCAAAGGCTAACAGCCAGTCTGGGTTGTAATCCTCTTCTGAGGAATCTGGAATACTGTGCAGCAAAGAATTAAAGATTAAAATTTGGGAAATTACTTTTAAAATTAAATTATTTATAGTTTCTTATTAGCGAAATGTTTTTACACTCTTTAAATTTATGTCTGGTGCCACATTGTTTTTCCTGGAACAGTTATAGCCTGACAATTAAAAGTACCACCTTGCAAAGTCTGTATGCTGTATATATTAACTTACATTGTTACACAGTCAATAATTTCAGAGCACCAAACAGGTGCTACCAAGAAATATATGGATCTTGAACATTATTAATGCAGCTCAGGACTGTGTTCCTTTTGAAATCTCAATCACATGCCTGGTAAACAATATGTAAACCCTGTTATAATATATCTGTCAACAATTTAATTAAAAAACTTGCCCAAGCAATGTTCTTATGAGGAAATATATTGGGAGATCACCAGCAGAATATTCAGAACACAAATGCTGTGTTATAGCTTAGTTTATTATGTCCTTCCATATGTTGGTTGAAACACTCATTCAAATTTAAATCCATTGCCACCAAAAAGATCCCGAACAGGGAAATACAAGATATGCATTTTTATGTTGTTTGATGATGATACTATTGCTTTACATTTTTCAGGAAAGGTGGTTTATGGGGAGCCTATTGCTGCTAGTCTTGGCACCGATGGCACCCACTATTGGAGTAAAGACTGGGCTCATGCTGCAGCATATGTCATGGGACCTCCTCTGAGACCAGATCCATCTACTCCTGGTTTTCTCATGAACTTACTGGCCAAGTAAGTAGATGAACAAACAGTGACAGCTGATGCCCAAATACACAGCAAATTCTGTATCGAATATATAATAACAAGTTGACGCCCTGGAGATTTTCTAAGTACAGAATGTTATGTTATCAGGAAGGAGAAATGGAAGATGGAACCATAGATGAAAAACATTTTCTGTTACAGAAGTTAGAAAGTGTTCAGATTTTGTTTCTCTGAACTCTTGTGGCCTTCTGTTCCCATTTGATTTCAATCAATAAGCCTTGCCTTACTAATACTGCAGCAAAAATTGAAACATGACTAGGGGGAAAGTAAGGCTGTAAGTCAGCTGGAAACGTGTAAAAAGTGGGGTCACAGCTAAGAGTTCTGGGTTTTGTTGTCAGCTGCCCTTTTCACTTGAAATCTGGATGCTGCATAAAAACTAAGCCTGATGACTTCTGAAGGTAGATACAAGTTGTCTACTTTATAACATCTCCTTCAGAAGAAAGTAGGAACAGAAGTATGCTTCATATACTTGCAGTTAACAAAATGTGTAGTTTACTGGTATTTCATTACCAATAAAGCTTAACTCCACAAAAGGGTTGAATTTGACCAAAGAGTCTGTGAAGGTATGCCTTAACACTGATGGTTGTGCAGATCCATAGTAATTTCACAGCGTATATGGAGTGACACAGTCTAAAATTGCTCTAAGTGAGGATGGAACCAAGCCCTTTGCTCTGGGCAAAGTGGGACAGTCCTCCATTTGTGGGACACCTTTGACATATCCAAAGTAAAAGTGTTATTTTTGGTGCTTGGTTTCTTCTGAGGAGTTTCTGAAGAGGAAACTGCTTCATAGGCGAACTGGCTCTTACTGTGGAGCTACTCTTGGAGGATGGGACTGAAGACAGGCTGGCAGGGCATATCAATTTTTCCTTGCAAAAGAGATGGCTGGATCTACCCAGCCTTGCAACAGATTTTCCTGTGTGGCACTGTCTGGTACTGCTCTGATTCATAATGAACTTTGTTTCTCCATAGTGATGACCTATCTGTGACAGGGACTGACAACTGCACCTTTGACATATGCCAGAAAGCTCTGGGGAAGGATGACTTCACAAAAATCCCTAATGGAGTGAATGGTGTGGAAGACAGAATGTCAGTCATATGGGAAAAAGGCGTTGTAAGTATATCAAGATGTCTGAACATGGAGGTAATTGATTTCTTTAACAAAATATAATCTCTCAGCAGTGTAAACTCTCCAGTTTTATCAGGTGTGTTTATCATAGGATAACTCCTTTGATCAAATACCATAACAGAGTCCTTACTAACTGTCACTTTATGGTCCGGGGAGATAGAAGAAGATTCTTAGGGCTTAAAAAATAGCACTACAGAATCATTTCCATCGTTTAGCAGCAAAGGACTGCTGTTGTTTCAGCAGTAGTGCACAGTACATTTACTTGCAGCATTTTTTTCAACAGATGAAAGGAAAGTTAGAGGAAAGAGGTGCCCACAGTTTTGACTTGGTCGGTTCTGTATTTTTTCCTCTTTGATCTCTCTCAAACATAGCTGTTGGAGGCACTTCTACACTAGGTGTGTACCTGTCAACTTCTAATTTGTGTTTTCAGCAAGAGGAAACAAGGTAGAGATAAGAAATGCTTCTCTAATGCATGGCTCAGTCCTGTGGTATGATGAGATGAGCACCTTCAAGTCCCATTGACTTCAGATTCTCAGTGCCATCACAAGAATGCTCGGTGCTTCTCAGGACAATGCCCTTCAGGCTCTAAACAAATATGAATATGAAAGCTAGTGGCCAGGCTTTTTGGATATGGGGTGGTCTGATGAGGGGGGGAGGTGAGGCAATTTGATGAGGGATCTGCTGCTTACTGTGTGTTATGTTGCTGTGGCTAATACAATATTGTTAAGTTCCGGAGGCTCTAGTTCAACTTTCTAATGAATGTTAAGTTCTCTTGCAATAGTGAAGTCTTGATAATGCACTGTGAAGCATATTTATTTGTCATAGTAGAATTACCCAACTCACACACCTGGTAAGGATGTGATTCAGAATCTCTCTTGTTTATCTGTATTTGTGATTCAGCTCCAGTTTGTGTGTACAAAGCAGACTTCTGCCTGTATTCACCTGTGGCATAACTCTAGTATGATTATTGATGGTGTAAACTGGAATATAATCTAGCTTGTGGCTAGTATGAAAGGGAGACATGAATATGTACATCAGTGCTGCTTTTGAACACTGTATCCTGTTGGGCAAGATAATTTTTCAAAAGGTTCTTCAATCAGTGATATCCTCCCTTGTCTTACTCGTAAAATATTACACAACTGTGAGAGTTTTTCTGGAAAGCTTCCCTCCCTTCCCACACACCATTATTTAGAAGAGCAGTGTTCGCCACTTTCATTATGCTTTTCTTCTCAGATGACTGCTCACAGGACACCATACAAACATGTTTTTACGACATTCTGATTCCTAGACTGACCTATGCACAATATTACTGCCAGTGTAGCTGGCTTTCCAAGCAAACAACAGTCATGGAGGCTGGATTAAATTATTTATGTAGCCGTGGACAGTCCCAAGACACGTGTGTATGCATTATTGTTTGCCATTTTGCTGATGTGTCACATCAGCAAATCTTTTTTATACTACTTGATCTCAAATATTTACTGAACAGTACTATATCATAGAATCATAGAATCATTAAGGTTGGAAAAGACCTCTAAGATCATCGAGTCCAACCGTTAACCCAACACCACCATGCCCACTAAACCATGTCCCTAAGCGCCTCATCTTCACGTCTTTTAAATACTTCCAGGGATGGTGACTCAACCACTTCCCTGAGCAGCCTGTTCCAAGGCCTGACCACTCTTTCAGTAAAGAAATTTTTCCTCTGTGTTATTGCTGAAGAGATTTGCAAATCACCTTTCCTATATTACACATTGTGCTTTACCTCTCCTTTATGATCTTCTAGGCTCTCCTTAATACTGTCTCACCATTTTCCAAAACCTAGATACTTGAGAGATGTTATGTCTCCTGAGGAAACTTCTGAGCAGGACTACAGATTCAAAGCCAGCTAAAAAATTTGATTTCAGTTGACTTGGCACTGGATCCACAGAGCGTTTGGCTTTAAAGTTGTCTTTTTTTCCCTTTGCTGTAAGATAAAGTAAGATAAAGTTATCGTATTCAGTGAATGTACATTGCAGTATGTGCATCTGAGACAAATAGTTATTTTTATTTCTTTTAAACTCTTCAGTATGACATTTTAAAAAAATATTGATGTGATGTTGGCAGAGAGCTGTCACTAATCCTAGCCTTTTAAACAACAGGAACATTTTTTTTATTCCTTGTTTAAAAAAGTAATGAGTTTGCTTTTGTGTACTCTTCTGCAGTACAGTGGAAAAATGGATGAAAACAGATTTGTGGCTGTTACCAGCACAAATGCAGCAAAAATCTTTAACCTTTACCCGAAGAAGGGGAGAATTGCTGTGGGTTCTGATGCTGACATCGTAATTTGGGATCCCAAAGCTACAAGGTATGTATGGGTAGGTATTTCCTCCCATCCAGCCTCTCTGCAGGAAAAAATATCTCAAAGCCTCTGTACAGCAGTAAGCCTTTGGGGTGAGATTTTGGTGTTTTTCAACGGCACTTCACGTGAATTATTTACAGGTTATTTGTCTCCTACATTAGTGTACGTAAGCAGAGATTTTTGATTTCTAGATGGACTTAAAAAAATTCTCCTAGATTGCTCACCAAGTGCAAAAATAACAAGGTCTGTACATTATGCTACCAGGGCTTGGTATCCTAAGGGTAAAAATAACCACTTTCAGATCTTAGGGTAACTCTGTTAAGTGCTAGAGTATGTTTAGCTTCCTTCCACTGCAAAGAAAACGGAAAGAAGCCTGTGTTCCCAGAATGACCCATTGCAAGCTTGTGTTTTGAACTTAAAACTACTTCAAACGTATTCAGAGGTGGTCGGGATGGGTGGTGAAAGTGTGGGGTCTTGCCCTCCTAATCTTTTCTCCCTAGCTGACAGAGCAAATATAGTGGTAGAGCCAGGAGTGAGCTTAGTTCTGAAGCTCAAGCTGTACATGCTTATGCTTTTACTTAAGGAGTTTTCTGATTTTGTGCACAGTAAGTCTGCTAGAATAGAGCTTGTCACACCAACAACAGATGCACAGGTGCTTATGTCTCACCCTGCATGACTTGATGCCATGCTACATTTTTGCTACAAAGGGCATGCAGTGTCTTTCTGGGAGCCTCAATTCACACAGCATACTGTGCATTACAGCTGATTCCTGTCTTCAGGTATATTCACACCATCAGCCAGCTCCACACTCAGGCCACTATAAACTTCTCGAGAATTATACATCTTGAGTCTTGCTCTGGTGCCCATCCTGGTCTTGTTTAAGCTGCCTGGAAATGGTCTGGCAGCCGGCTGTCACAGTGCCAGCTCACCTGGGGAGTTGTCTTTCTCAGCTGAGATGCCTGTGGGCTGTGTGAGTGCATCTCCACTGTTGAAGTGCTGAGCAGGTTAGCTTAAATCTGCAGGCACTTTAACAGCCGAGTCTTGCATTTGACCACATCCAACCCTGCACATAGCAGCAGCAGGTCAGGAGGTGTGCTGGGATTGTCTTGGGCTCAGCTCTAGTGAGCAGCGTGAGCATACAACTGCCCTGAAGGCACACATTGACCTTCCTTGAAATCTCTTCATCAGTGTCATCCAAATAGTAAATCCATAGAGGACAGCAATCACTAACCCTCGATGAGCTTTGTGAGGTGTTGGGCACGAGGACAGTATGGCCAGCTTTCATCAAGGTATTACAGTGTTTGGTGTTCTTAAAGCCTGACCTGTTGTAACTCAGATGGCATTAGATTTTCAGCCTTTGTTTTTTTTAAAAAAGAGTTGAAGATTCCTCTCATGGTAGAGGAAATTTTTGAAACATAATTGGGCAAATCTGATTTTGGAAGCTAAATGGAGGAAAAAAAGCCCTAATCCTAGATTTACCTTACACAAACAAAATTTTCTTGACCAATCTTCTGGTTTTTGAATTTTTGATAATGCAATTCTCACTCATTTCAGTATATTCATGAGTACGAAAAACATGTGAGATTGAAAGGAAAAGCATTCTGTGTTTTAAGCTGCAAAGTTTAAGGACATGGAGGTTGCTATTCAGAAGTCCCACAAAAAAATGGCAGCACCAGCAAAGGAAGTTTTAGGAGTGTCAACTCCAATAAACAAAGAGGCCTGCCCAGTGCTGGGTCAGAGAGATTTTCCTGTGTGTTATGCCTTCTGGCATGTTGAGCAAGCATATTTTGAGATACTAGCAATGAGCTATTTCAGGACAGTGGAGCTATGAACTCTGATTAAAAAAACCTGAAGTATTCTTTTCTGAGCTTAGTTCTGCTCTGCCTGGGGACAAGTGAATCTAGCAGCATAGCGGAGTTCTGACATTGTCCTAAAGGTGCTTTGTCAGCTCCTGAAATTATTTATCCTTTTGCCTCCCAAGCATTCCTTCTGCCTCCCTTCACTCTCTCCTGAGTGCTCTAATTGCCTTTTTGCCCACTGCAGCTGTAAAGGTGCAGTTTTTCTTCAAATATGCTTTTCAAACATTAAACTGTATTTTCTTACTGAGCAAGCTCATTTTAAGTTCAGCCAATACTTTTTTTCTGATCTGGTACTGTTCCCATTGTTTATCCCTTCGGGTTTGCTGGGAACAAGCCTCTCAGCAGGTACAATTTTGTGAACTACACGAGCAATTATAAATAAATTTCACTAGTGCTTGTCTGTTCACTACAAATCCTGAAGAGGGCACAAACAGCCCAGCAGAAAAAAAGGATCTAGCTAATGGGCTTCAGCCATTTAAGATATTACACAAGGTGCAGCCTCGTGCTTTTTTTTACTCTGGGGAGTGATTTTCAATTTCACAATAGGTTGTTCCTCTTTCTTGCAAAGTCCTTCCTCTTTCAAGCATGACTTTTTTTCCTGTTTGTAAATCTAAATCTTGTAAGAGGAAAATGCAATTTTCCATTTCTGATTTGATGCTGTGTTACTGTAGTCTTAAAATACTGGCTGATACTAGCCTAAAGAGTTAGACAATTGCTGAAGTATTGCTGTGAGGAACTGGTTTTATCACAATCTGTCAGATGAAGTCTATAGGGAAGATTCTGAAGTCATTCTGAAAGGTAGTGAAACTCTTCAAAATACAAATAAAAATACAAAAATACAAAAACTTACATCCCTACAAAATCGGCTGCATTTCGTCTTCCACATCATTGCACAATAGCAACATGTTGGGTCTATCTGGGCATTCAGGATTTTCTCTTTCTAGGTTGCAAAAACCTAGTGAATTCAACGTGACAGCTTTGCAAGCTGGGAGCAATTGCAGTTCGAGGTTCCACTTCCAGCACTCTGCCACTTTAGCTGAGGCTTTCCTTCTATGGATCAGCTTCAGTGACTGGCCTATTTCTGTAGCATTTTCTGGTAACTTCTGCAGAAAGCATTATATGAACAGTTACCAGATTTGCTATTGTATTTAAAGGCTTCTAAATACTGGTTTTAGCAGGTCTGCATGAAAGTAAGCAGTATTGCAAAGAAACAAATTAAATGTATAAATTCGTTAGAAACTGCATTAAAAAAGATGGGTTGTGAGTTCTGCCAGGTTAGGTCTATTTCTTAGCTTCCTTATACTCATTGCATATTCATTAAAGAACACACAAATACTGAAGGGACCTCTTGGTTTATTGCAGCCATGTGCTACCAAACATCATCCTGCAGACCTCAACACCCTCAGCATCCCAAGTACAGCCTGTGCACACAGGGTTGTTTTGTGAGAACTCCTTGGAAAAACTCATGTAGGCAGCAAATGTGTACTTACTGTACCATCTTATTTTAATCTGTGCTTTGATCAAGAATGTTCACTGACTTCTTTCAGCTCCACCCAAATAATATAACAGCCCCAAGTCAGTGAAACAAAAGCAACTGTAAAGACTGTTCCAGAAGAAGAGGGCAGAGTAAGCAAGGAAAAGGGAATGTCACCTCTCAGCAAGTCAGTGTCCTCTACAGCTGATGCCTTTAGCTATTTGAAAGCAAGCAAGAATACAAAATCCCTAGAGCTTGTTTCAGAAATGCTCAGCAAGGAATCTAAATAGTGCAGTACCCAATTCAGACCGTGGAAAGAGCGGAGCATCCCTTGTAAAGTAGGGCCAGAAGGTGCTAAAGATCTCATAAGAGACATTCAGCTCCTGGCAGATATTGGGGCTCAATAAACTCACTGTAGCCTGTTGGAGCCTTGCAAATAAGCCCTGGATCAGGCCCCAAAAGCAAGATCAAACACCTACAGGGTTAAAAAACCTGAAAGGAGTTTAACTTTCTAAGTCCAGCCACTTCATTATAACAACATGCAGTCTGGGAAGCCTCACCGACCAGTTTTTTTCCACTCACCAAATATAGCCTAAAAGTTAGCTACTTCTGAATGCAGAGGCAGAGCTGGCCATGCAGGTAGCAGTCTCTCACCCCATCCTCCTTGTGCTCCACTGGAGCAGGCCCAGCGTGTGCCCCACGTGTGCCAGCCGAGCTCGGCTCAACACTCTGCACAGCAGTGGTGGCTGCAGCCCCGAGCACACAGGTACTGGAGCGGGGTCCCTGATTAGTAGGGAGGGCAGGAGTCCTGAGATGAGGAAGAGAGGGAGGAAAAGGACATGTTACTCTGTAATCTACCTGCTATGACATGACTAAGGAAGGTGTGATTTCTAGCCTCTGTTTCTGGTGTTTTTTATGCATTTTACGGGAAACAGTCACTGGATGGAAATCAGTGAGAAGTCAGAGTACCCCACTCTCCTGGCATATGTTCCCTCAGTGTCTTTGCTTGCGTATAGATATGTTCATGGATAAATCTTCTGCATTTGTTAGAATGAAAATCTGCAGCCTATAACTGTCTCATTTCTAGTCAAGTCTTCAGCCTCAGAGGCTTAAGTGGGGACAAGTTACAACATTTAAGCACTCTTTGCCAAGCAACTGCCTGTGATTTTTCATAATGAAAGAGGAAGAAACTAAGATGTTAGAAAATTATTAGAATAAATAGTGCTGCAACTGTCTTACTCTTTTGATGAATCAGCATAATTTTGAATATTGAGTATATAGGTAACTGCATCTAGACACAATGAGGCAAAATGAAATAATGTGGCATACAAATATGTATGCATAGGACACGTATGTTCTGGCATTTTCAGTAGCCCCATGTTCTTTTGCACAAGTGCAAGCCTATGCATATATGAATGTACACTAATTCACTAGAATCAGAGTTTCTATCAAAGGCTTGTTATGTCAAATTAAGGGGGCATGGAGAAAGAAACAATAGGCACAAATTAAAATACATGAAATTCCATTTAAACATAAGAAAGAACTGTTTGCTGCGAGGGTGATCAAACACTGGCAGAGGTTGCCCAAAGAGGTTGTGGAGTCTCCATCTTTGGAGGTACTTAAAACCCGACTGGACACAGCCCTGAGAAACCTACTTTGGCTGACCCCGATCA